GTCTGTCAGTGAGTGTGTCTGTCAGTGAGTGTGTCTGTGTCTGTCACTGAGTGTGTGAGTGTCTGTCTGTCTGTCAGTGTGTGTGTGTGTCTTCAGGGAGTGTGTGTGAGTAAATGTGTGTGTCTGTCAGAGTGTGTCAAATCAGTGAGGATGTTTGTGTCATTGTGCATCTGTCAGTGAGTTTATGTCAGTGTATGTGTTTCTGAGAGTGTGTGCCTGTCAGTGAGTGGGTGTGTCAGTGTGTGTGTCTGTCAGTGAAAGTGTGGGTTGTTTAAACAGTATGTGTGCCAGTTGACTGTATCTGTCAGTGAGTGTATGTCAGTGCATGTGTCAATGAGGGCGTGCATCTGTCAGTCCAAAAAGTGGTCTTGACACGAAGTGGTGGTGCAAATTTAGATTAGAGGGGTGCTAGAATTTAGTCGTGCCTAGAGCAGCACAAATCCAAGATACACCACTGTATACGTTATAAAAAAGATGTAAAAAAAATAAATTATGAAAAAAGTAAGTTACTCATCTTTTCAACTGTCTATGGATGCACTGCTTTGTGGATCTGCCTACTGCTGAAGATAAACTCCTTGACACCAGCATAAGATGCTCCAGTCATGAGCATTTCATTCTGGTCACTCGGGACAGATCATGTCGTAGTCGTCTTGTTGGTTTAGTTGTCTTTTTTATTTTTTGTCTTTTTTATTTTTTGTGCTAGTGAGATATATTAAAAGGAAAAAGAGGAATAGTAGGAGGAAAAACTCCCTCATATAGACGGGAGAAGTCCTCCCACTAAAGCTACCCCCAAAGAAAAAGGCATATATGGGCTAGTTAAATCACACACTATAATACATATATCTAAAAATAACCTTTATTGTATACACCACTCAAACTCTATATACCCCAAACCGAATAAAAGAAAGAAAAATGCAGACTGATCTCGGCTATAGATAACTGCTGGATTGATCTGTAGCGATATGAGTGTAACAAACTCAAATTGTTACATTGGCGTAATAAGTATGAACAATGTAACAATATCTATTTGAAGGATCAAAAGACAGCAGAAATGTAAGTAACAAGCCAAAATAGTACTAAGCTGTAACCCTAAATGAGGCACTGAAGTGGTCCCCCCTCTATAAATGAAACTATAACTCTCACTTTATCCTACATCCCCATATATATATATAAACAGCTATTCTATTAGTAATACAAAGGAAATCGAAAGGATAGCGAGATAAGTAGTAGGGGAAACTGATAGATAAAGATAGACGTGGAGAGAAAAAGAAAATCAAACTGGGGGACTAAAATGCCCCAATTTTACAAATGACCGGCCGGTCGTATGGCTCCTATGGGTACAGCAAATGTACAAAGATATGTGTTAATATAATGTTAAACACATGTCCGCGTCAGAATTGCCCAACGCGCGTTTCGGCGGAAAGACCGCCTTTCTCAAGGGCACACAATATCCTTAAAATAGATATTGTTACATTGTTCATACTTATTACGCCAATGTAACAATTTGAGTTTGTTACACTCATATTGCTACAGATCTATCCAGCAGTTATCTATAGCCGAGATCAGTCTGCATTTTTCCTTCTTTTATTCGGTTTGGGGTATATAGAGTTTAAGTGGTGTATATAATAAAGGTTATTTTTAGATATATGTATTATAGTGTGTGATTTAACTAGCCCATATATGCCTTTTTCTTTGGCGGTAGCTTTAGTGGGAGGACTTCCCCCATCTATATGAGGGAGTTTTTCCTCCTACTATTCCTCTTTTTCCTTTTAATACTGTATGTAGGGTTAAGCCCGTTTCGTTACCCCTCTAGCCCCTTTTTTGGTACTCCTGGTCAGAGTTTATGTATTTTCTATACTATGTATGTTTAGTGAGATATATTGTTGTACTTTTATACAAAACATATTTTATTTAATTTTACTATGTTTTAGCATGTTTATCTTTTAGCACTCCCTTTTTATTAGCGTTCTTACGGTATTTTCTATATTTGCCCTTATTCTATAGGAGATGACAGTGTGATATTTAATGATACAAGTATTGCACATTTGAAGCAGAACCAGCTTTTGTGTTTCTTTACCTAAACATAGGTAAATAGAAGCCTATTTACATAGAGGGCTGTAAAAATGTAGTCTTAAATGATTTAATATTTACACTAATACATTTTTGTGAAAGAGATGCTATCCTTCACCCGTGGAAATAAGTATCCATTTAATGAAATAACTTTTTTTGCTATTTCTTTTTGCATCCATGCTTGTTTTGCACAGATCTATCTTTCTTTTCATATGTTACATATGAAGAATATATCTTGTTTATATTATTGATGTAAAAATGAATTTTGGAAAAATATAAATAGTATGTATTCTTTCTTTTTAATGGATGCATCATTTTCAGAGACATCTTTATCTCATAAGAAACTGGTAGATTCAATAGCTTAAATTGAAATAGTCACCTCTCTGGTCTCTCCCCAGTTGAAGTGGTCACTACATGATGGTACATGGTCAAAAAGAGAAAGGTATCATACTTTACCTTCTCAGTGCCACCATTGTCCTCTCTTCAGGCTCTCTGTCCTTTGGCTAAGGTCATGTGAAGCTGGAAACAATGATCCTCTGGCTACAAGGTCAGTGATATGTCACCTAACCCCCAGGATTGCTCCTGGAGCACCAAAAGCCTTCTAGCCTCCTTGAGCATCTTCACCAACACGCCTCTTGTTTTGAAAAAGTATGAAACTTAACGAACACAGTGACCAACAACACCATTATTTATTTATTTAGCCACAGTGTACTGGCACATATGATTATTAATTTTGCTTGTCTTCCAACCCTGAAAATGCATCTGTATAACTTGGCTAATGCCAACTCTAAGGACTCTTATCTTGAAAATGGATGGTTCTATTGGGAGTGGTAGGTCTTTGGAATTTTTTCTGCCACCTCCTCCTAATGACCTTCAGGCCCTTTTCATCTTCGGCAGTGTGTTTATCTTGAGGAAAAACTTGAACAGTGGCAGAAGGTGCTAGCTTTATCCATATTCATTTATCCATCTTTTCTTACCTTGCTGAGCAGGAGCCTTGGACCTTCAAGGCCTGTGGTTCTGAAGAGAAGACTTGACTTGGTTGTTAATAGGAGCACAAGTAAATCTAATAAATGGGAAACAGAGAGTACAGGTCAGGTTTCAGTGAATAGGTTTGATTAGACAGGTTGTGAAATTGAAGGGTAAAATTAGAACAGAAATTTCATTCCCAAGCCCTGAACTAACATTCCCAAGCCCTGTTTAGCACTATTTTGGTAATAAGAGTAGCTGGGGATCAGAACTAGCACTTTCTGTGGAAGTATAGTATGTCAACATTAATAATGGCTTGTGTAGCTGTAATTAGGTACTTATTTTAAAAATATAATTGAACTCATATTATTTGATTGAGGCCAATTGATCAAATTCAGGTTTTGTGAATTTGTGTGGAGCATGATTAAATGTTAGTTTGAGGCAATGCAAAGAATCAAATGTTAATCTGAGGCTAATAATATGATTGGGCTGTCTTTGAACTAAATAAATATGCACCGAAAGAAGCTCGATGATGCCTTTTTTGGGGGGACTGGCTCCATCCCCTGACTGCTCAGTAGGTAAACAAACTTACATTTTCTTACCTCTAATCTGAATTGTTTTCCTGGTTTCCCAGTCCTCTACTTTTTCATGTTAGCCCTAAGCGTTCTGTTGATTTTCCAACTCTAAGTATTTCATGACTCTAAACCTTCTCTACATTTCCTAAAATCAATTCTTATTTCTTTTTAATTCTAAACCTAACTTTTCTCCCAATAGACTTTTAATCCTAACCCTGCTCCCTATAAACTGCCAACCCTAACAACTCATACTAACTGTTCTCTCTATATCCACTATCACTGTCTGATCACACCCTTCTCCCCCTATACCACTACAGCAAACCACACATGCTGATCCATGTCCTGATGTACCTCTATTCCAAGTCTCTAACACAAACATTTCCATGCAATGCAGTGAAACCTACTCTAATACAAACATTCATCCATCACCTAAGTGCTCGATCTTATTGCAGTCAAGTAATTGTGGTCAAAATGTAAAATCAATCAAATTGGTAGCAATCAAATTGTGAAGCTGCTAATGTAGAAAAATATAGTGGAAGGATTTATCATTTTAATATTTGTTGTTTTTTTTAAAGTTTTTTTTTATTCTTTTGGTGTGCATGTTAGATATAAAGCATGAACAATTTACAATTTCGAAGATAACCATAGTACATAAGATAAATTATAAAGCAAAGTGCATAGCATAAATTTGCACATTTTTATATCATAAAAAGTAAAAGGATAAAGTACGGAACATCTGAGAGGATGCATTACTTCAGTATTAAGAAGCCATCAGCGTTATCTAGACACAAGTAGCAGTGGTTAAAAAATCGCTTTAGTTAACTAGGCATGTGTGTCTGCACTTGGTTATAGAAGGAGAAACTGATATGCAGATATGGCCTCTCAGATGTAAGGGAGAGTAACTAAACATATGTGTAGTAATACGGGCTTATCAAACAGTTAAAACAAATGGAGTGGAATGTTTGAACCGCTGGGTATTTAGCAGATGTTTGAACCGCTGGGTATTTAGCAGATAATAATAATAATGTAAACACACATTAAGTCCTGCTCTGTGACCAGGACGGTAGCTGAAATAGGCAGCAGCAAACCTTCACCAGATTCCACTAGTATGCTTGAACAGACAGTTCATTCTCTGGCCCGGGATGGTGTCTCATTGTGCCCATATGCAGAACTGCAGCAGAAACCGGTCCTCATACACATGGGAAATGGGTTGCGGCTTTTCACCCACCCAGGCTGTTTGGGGGGCCACTGTTCTCGGCATTATGCCGCCACCGTGCCTCTCTCTGTGCTGGCTTGGTGCATGGTGTGAGAGTCTGCATGCTCTGTCACCATTCTTGGGCCTTCTGATGTTGCATTTGTAGAGGGTTGTTGGAGCACATGATTTCCTGACTACTTCAGGGCCAGTTGATGCTGTCCCTGCTCTAACTTGTGCTCCAGCTTTTTCCAGAAGTCTATGAATATTTTGTCCAGCCGGGTCAAAATATCGGGCTGAATCTCGCTGTTACTGGCTTTGCATGTGATGTCCGCCATATTGGAGAGCTTACTGCATGGTATCTCTGCCTGCTTGTCTGCACCCCAGTCACCAGGCATAACAGGAAGACTTTCCATGAGTGGACTGGGATAAACCCCCCCGGTCCAAGGGGGGGTAACAGGGCACATGTGCGCCAGTGACTGCATCCGGGCACCTCCGGCACAGGAGATCGGCCGCATCTCCCTCCCGACATGCACCATGCATAAGTGAGCTCCTCTCGGGCCTGGTATGGCTGTGAAAATCTTTTATGTTCAAGATTAGTAGGGAGCTCATGTGGAACACATCCTGCTGCCATGATGGTCAGGCCCCGCTCCCTTTAACATTTGTTTTTATGTTTTTGCAAATGGGTAATGGGTTGATTGAAATAATTTCTCTACTAGATAAGTATGTTACAAACAAAATGTAATAAAGGTTGTTATCAATAATTACGACACCATCACTCTACTTTTATACCAACTCTGTAGACCTTCGTTGGCACCTCCAAAGAGTTACATCTATTTTATAAGATTATTAGAGTTCCTGTGTATTTTGTTCTCTCACTGTTATACAGTCATATTGGCAACACCATTAATCAAATTAGATTGAGTTTGTGTTCTGACTATGACTGATGTTGGAGTAGTCAGATTGTAAATATACATTCCTTCCCTTCTCTGTCATTGTATCACTTGGATTTTTGACTTGAAAACAATTATTAAGACATTTCTTTGCCCTATGTTAGGATCACTTTCCTGCCAATCTTTCTGTTGATGTTCTTGGCTGACAATCAGCCACACTGGAAATAATTGATAACTATTAACAGCGAGGAATAGCTGTCTGAGAAGAACAGTGTGTCTGCTTTAATCCAAACCATTTGGCACAGCTAGCATCCACCGCATTTTGTTGATGTGTCTATAAGTGACAACGAAAGATAATAACATAATGTTACCATTGTCAGGTCTAATTAAACTAATCATTGCTTGTGAAATTTTAAAAGGCTGCAAAAGATTAGCATTCACCATTGTTTCTGATTTTCTCAAAATGTAAAACTGATTCTGGGCTAAACTTTCTGCCAAAAAAAAAAGTCAAACATGGGAAATGCATCCACTTTTACCTCCTGCTGAAATCATAAAACCCTGTATAAACAAGTTAAAAACATTTTTTTTAAATATTATTTTATCACAAAACACGAAAAACAGATCCGCAAAAAAACAGTTTAATCTTTCCAAAACCATTTGAATTTTGGGCAGTTATATTTCTGTTGGCACAAATGCAAATTGTATAGTTGTCTAGGATTCATTTTTAGCGTTACACCATCACTTTCAATGTCTGCTTCAGGATCTCAATGCTCTATGTATATTTACGTTTTCCTCTATATGATGTAAACTTGGCAATAAACTAGCACATCATTGTCTTGCTAATCTCATTTCAGTTAGAGGCCTCATAAAAACACTATGATTATTCCTGCATTTTTTGCTTATAACTTTACGTTTAATTTACTCTGTCCAATTGGAAGCTTGGGTTGGACTTCAATTCTCTCTGCCTTTGACATTTCTTTGTAAATTGGATTTTTTTGATTTTCAGGTTTTGGCATATGCAGAGTTTTTTCCAGAAAATCTAATACAATAATATCCTTAATTATGTTATAGTTGAAAGATTCCAAGTTATCCACATCTCATCACAGAGCCAACAAAAAAAAATATAGAACAATGAAGAGGAATTTGCGCTGCCTTTTAATTATCACAATGATAACATTGTATAGATTAGGGGTGCCCAAATGCTTTGTCATTCTAAAGGCATGCAAATTATCATGGGATTGGTAGTTCTACAACATCTAGGGATCTACCTTTTGGACACCCCCGGTATAGATTATTTCAAAAATATTTTGATTACGGTTTTCCAACCTACCCTTAGCTTCTGTGTCACTATACCCCACTCCCTCTAGCATGTAAGCTCATTGAGCAGGGCCTTCACTCCCTCTGTTCCTGTGTGACCAACTTGTCTGGTTACAAATATGTGTCTGTTAGTCCACCCATTGTACAGCACTGCAGAATTTGTTGGCGCTATGAAAATAATAATTATAAAAAATGTATCCATACATGAGGCAATTACAAAATGTTACGGGAACAATAGTTTGATAAGGATCCTGCTCAAAGGGGGTTACAATATAAACATAAACTGTTATAACCATACATCTTCTAGAATACATAGTGATTGCACTCTGCCGGACACACTTACACAATGTTCATAATGTCAGAGACACACACACATGCACACATTCCCACTGTCAGGCACAGATACACAATCTCAGATACACACTGTCAACGCACACACACACACACACACACACACACACACACATATATATATATATATATATGTACACAAAATATACAATCTATATTAAAAAAAAAATATTTGGGGGGAGTTTGTAGGAAATTTCTGCAAGAGGTAAAAGTGGATACATTTCCCATGTTTGACTTTTTTTCTCAGAATATTTGTGCTTATATCACACTTTTTCCAATGTCTTACTTGAGATATGTAGATGCACAACAGAAATGTTAAGTTTACAAAATAAATATATTTACATACCTCTTACACATTTAGTACTATTTATTTTACCCTTTCATTATAATATTACATTTAATTTGCATTATTTTAATTTTTTTGCAAAATTAGTGTTATATTATACTCATATTATACATATCTCATATCATGTGTTTTGAGTCTCATTGCCATGTCTCACTCTCCCCAGCACCTAGCTTGGTATATTAATTAGACAAGAAGTACAAAATTAAGCCAGAAGCAGCGCCTGCAGCTTGGAAGTGTGACACCCATCATTGTCATGCAGCAAAGGAAATGTCTGTCCTGGTTCTACACTAAGAAAGAATACGAGAGAGCTTTAGCAACTGTGTATATCTGTGTGTTTATGTTAGCTTGTGTTTTGTATTCCTGCTGGTACGAGAAGACAATGCTATGGAACACAGTTTCAATAAAATAGTAAAAGTAAGAATAATGTAATATAAGACGTACATAATATTAAATTGGGGTAAAATAATACTGTGGAGGGGTTCTTATTAGCAGTAAAATGCCTTTAAGGCATCACTTCCCATTACACTTAATTGCCATAATGTCTCCTTGTGTGTTATGTGTTACCTATATTTGCTAATAACAATTTTGTAATACTTAATAAAAAGTGTGAAGTGTTCTTATTATTTACCTCATTGGTTTTAAAACATATCTGTGTGAAACAATGGGCTCAACCAAAGTAGAAAATATACTCAAATTATTAGCTAAACATTCCATCAATCAAGATCCCAACAACACACAAGTAGGAAGACCATTGTGGAGGATTTTTTTTCTTTAAAACTCAAAATTATGCAGATTTACAAATTCCAGCACAGTAAATGTCCTTAATTATGACATTGTTAAAATATTTTTGGATAAGAATTTCAAAGTATTTCATATTTTTAGATAGACATTTAAAATAATTCAGTATTAAAAAAATAAATATATATATATATATATATATACACTCACACACACACACACACACACACACATTTAAAAATTTTGAAATGTTTATACATTTTTTAATGTTATATGTTTTTGAAAAATATTTTTTTTAGTTTTTTCAAAAATACTAAATAATTTGAAAAGTTTATTAAAAAAAATATTAAATCCAGAACTTATCCTCTTGTCTATAATGTGTATCACAAATAAACCAATCTCTAAATAACCTTGATTACCCATCACTGGACTACAGCTGAGCCTTCCTTATTGTTTCACAGTCAGTCAATTATCCCTTTTCTTACAAGTCATATGTTTTGTTTCATGTATTATATGTGATTTTCCTTTATGTCAAAGTTACGGAATTCATTTTTTTCCCCTCTTTCTTTTCATATAAAATGACATTGCCTGAATGCTTCACCTCTTTCGTATTTCCATTTTCAGATATTACAGTAGGGTTCTATAACCTTTGTTTTCTCTGTCCATTAGTTGTTATATTTCACCTTTGGTTTGCTGTGGAATTATGTTCCTATTCTGTTTTTTTTTTGTGTCTTCAGTATTACTTTGACACTTACCCAGCGTCTGCTATATGGGATTGTGCATTCTACTTCATTGCTTTTACTACTCCTCACTGCTCTGCTTTATCTTCTTGCCAACTGAGCTCCTTCTGTGCTGTGTTACTATGTGCCGAATACATCCAAGAACTATTCAACTTGAACATCTAAAAATACTTAATAAAGCAGTAGGAGACAAGAAAAATAAAAAAAAAAGTGAGTAAAACAGTTCAGTAGTTGCAGCAATACATAAAAATATGACGTTAACTTGTCTGATAAAGACTGGATTAGACTGATGTATACATTTTCTGTCTTGGTATTATTTAACAACTTGACATCAAATTAATGAATATTCAATTATATTGAATATGATTACAAAGTTGTTGTTGAGGCATGTGTTATACGCAGTGGTCAAACTAGCATAAAGAGGGCCCTGGTGCAAGAATTTGTTTACCCTCCACTTCCCGTAGCAAGGGTAGCCAAAACGTCGATTGGCATCTGTCAGACAACCCCCACAATACTTTGCCAGGTGGGAATCTACCATTTGCCCATCCTTGCAGGGTTGTATTTAGTAGTGTTTGTGTGTTTAAATGTAAGCATATATTTTTTAGAGTATGTATGAATTAATGTAGGGGTATGTAGTATTGGCATTTGCAGCTATGCATTTGAGTGTAGTGTTGGTTTTTGAATCCAGGGGAGTATTTATGTATAATGTTGGTGTTTTAACACAGAGGTGTATTTCTATATAGTGTTGATGTTTGAATGCAGGGTGTATTTGTGTGTAGTGTTGGCGTTTGAATGCTTACATGTATGCATACAGAAATACACTGACACACACACACTGATAACATATACATATGTTGAGACATGCAGATATACAGACACACAGATAAAAACACTGACACACGTACAAATACACAGACACTGATACTCACACTGATGCACATACAGATACACAATTGCACACATCTAGATACACAGACACACAGATACACACACTGACACACATGCAGATACACAGAGAAACAAACACTGGCACACATACAGATTCACAGAAACACATGCTGGCCACTAGGCATATGCATGGGGAAAATTTTCGGTTCGGT